AAGATGATCACCAAACATTTTCAAAAGACATTTCATAGCTTTACATCGAGTGGTTGTTTCATTAGGAGAAATTCTGCTGCACTTATTTTTTTCTCATTTTTAGAGAGCGAACTTACTTTATTCCTCTCAATGAATGTGGAATATGATCGAGGCCATTATGTACAGATTCGTTCTGATACGCTCTTTTATACTAGTTGAATCATCTGCACAAGTGAATTTCTTTGATCACATTTAATTGTTATGTCTACATTTTCAACAATATTCTTTTTGGTCTGCAAGGAAGTTTGCAGGCTTGCAGCTGGTTCCTCCTCTTATTGTTATATTCTGGACGAGTTTTTCAGGTAGTATGCCCGTCAATCTTGCCATTAGCTCATAATTGGTGTAACTAATATCGAATCTTCCAAATTACAGAAATCTAAATTGGGCCTTGTTAAAATATAAGCGATGACTCCATTCGAGCACACTGTTCTGTCTAAATTGTCAAATCAATTAGCTGAAGTGGCCCTCTTTTTCATTTTCCTTTAAACCCACCTACGAACATTTCATGTTTATTTGTAAAGTTTCAAATTATATTTTCTATTTTAAGAATCAACCAGTCAAATATTTTAGTAAATAGTAATTTTCCCTCGACCTTTGGGTTATAATTAATAATGGTCAGCGGCGAATTACCCATCTGTCCTATTATTGTCACCTCTCATGTGTTATTGTCGCAACTATTGTTGTGTGCAATGAAATCATTTACACATCATATCTGTCATGTCTGGCCTATTTTATTTCATCCAACTTTGATCAACAATGTTTTGGTCATGAAAATTACCTGAAATTATTTGAAAGTGAGATTTAGGTTTCTATTAAAATTCTAGAAGGCCCCCCAATGTTGACCTTAACAGCTGTTTCGGTGCAAATCATGTCAATAGGACATTAAATAGGATTCTCTTTGAATTGGCCAAAAATCCCATAATTGTTCCATAATACATTGATTTGTTGTTTTGTTCTGGCCTGTATTATCAGCCATTGTTGGAAATTTTAATGCCCTGTTTGTTTGCAATGCTTGAACTGTTGAACGTTGAAACTTAAATCTCGAGACACTGAGTCCTCTATTTTTAAAGAGCTACATATTGATATTTACAAAATTTTTTTATAAACATAGGATTGTCAATATGCTACAGGCCTTAAATATCTTATTTTTTTGGATTTTTGGATTTTTTGAAACTCCAGGAATCACAACTGATGGATAATCTGTTTGAAGGTTAAAACTAAAGTGTAAATACTCATCTAAAATCCTCTTAAGTTTTTTCATGAGATAGATCCGTCGGAAAAAGTCTTTGCCTCTTCGCTGTGTCAATATCTGCAAGTAATGCAAAAATAAATATAAAAATAAATACAAAAGCATTTTAATGCTTTTAATGATCATATAGCTGCCTTCTTAAAGTGGGAAAGATTGATTGGGACTTATTTCAAAGACTTTGAAATCTTTTCTGCTTTTTCCCATGGAAATGAAAATTTACTAGAGAGAGATTTGAGTCCTGCAAAGTAATTTCACTTTCTGTGATCTTTTTGACAAGCTAAATGGCTGATTAGAGTTCCGGAAGCAGCGTTACCTTACCAAAACACTTTTTGAGCCTTTAATTCATCACTGGCATTCTGGCATAGCTATACTAGAATGATCTCCATCGTATAGGGTTAACCATTTGCATAAAATCCATAAAATTCTTCTGATTGAAATGATAGTAAGTTGCTATGATTTTCATCTCCCCTTTTGAACATCAAGTGTAGGAGGGGAGATTTGGAAAGCTCTAGTTCTCTATTGTGATTCATGCTTTTTTTAAAGGCAAGAATTAAATTCGAAAACTTCTTTGAACTATTTCTCTAGATGATTTGCACAGGCTTGAAATTCTTCTTAATTCTTCGACTGAAATTTTGTTGGCGATTATTTTTATTTACTTTGGAACTTGAAAGTGATTTCAGTATGGTAGAGATTCGAATGCTATTTTGATTTTGACACCTCTGTGGCTGAACTGAAC